GTATTTGTCTAGGACCACACTGCACACAAAGATTCCATCACTTCATGATAAACATTCTGAAATTATCATCTATGTACAAATTTCAGACACTGTCCATAACTGTATGGTATGTGGTATTACCAAACAAACATGGAGGCCTGTTTATTTGGCTAGCTACATTATTTACTGGAATACGAAACCAATGTTTATAAACAGTAACTATTTCCGCACAAAGAACAACAGGAACTAATGGTGTTGAAACAGCCCAGAGTAGCCTGTCATTTTCCACAGATAACTCAATTACAGGACCACCAGAAGTTTCAGCAACTCATGCTTTGCAAGTCAGTGTGGACGAGTTATTTAGGGATATAGGATTGTAAAAATATACAACAGGAGCTCTGACTTTTAATAACAAACACTTTTATCTATACTACACAAAAATCTTGAAGGCTACGCCAGTTCTCAAAATGCTAGTTATTCTGTAATGTCATGTAGCAGTTTCAAGGAATTAGGTGACCCTTAATGTCTTTGAGTAGTGTATGCATAAAAATAAGAATAAAATGTGATGACAAAAACAGTTTTCACTTCATGGACACATACTTTAGAAAATCAGAACAATCAAATGTCATAAAATAATTAAAAACCAGAGGTATTTGAATTTGCTAACTAGAAACAGTCCTCTCACAATGGTTTCCTCAAAACTTAATATCTACATATACCATCATATACGTCAGACAAATGCCAAACTTCCAGGTCTTGACCATGGTCAAGCTAAATTTCCAAGATCTAAAAATTACCCATGTCTCAGGATTGTACAAGTAAAAGTCAATCTGTAACTTGAAATAACTTATTCAACTGGCTTTCTCGATAACCTTTCAGACGACTTTGATCTAGACATACCTCCAAAACTGGATGTGGTGGGATTTGAAACAATACAACAAAAAGTTTCATGCCTGTAGAGAGTCAAACATGCCTTAGAAACTATAACAATGGTATACTCATGTCTTACATAAAGCTAAATGCTGGTTCTGGCCTTTGCTCTGCTTTGACCTCAACCTTTTCAAAGCATGGCTCCATCCAAGAGAAGGTATATACCAAGTTAAGTGCATTAACTCTTTTTGAGAGAGTGTCACAAGATTTTGAGTGTTTTTTTCAAACCCAGAACTGAGAGGATCCAAGGCATCAGCAGGGCCTGTTGTCCATTCCACTTGCTTCCAAACAATTTTACATGTCACATCAATGTACATGTTCAGGGCCACATTCCACAAAATCTCTGGACACCATCGTAGTCTACATTAATGTATGGGAGTTAAATCATTGTAGTGCTACAACTGTTATAAGTCTATGTAAAAATATATGTAGTTACAACTGTCATAGAAACCATGACCACTCAGTGAAATGAGTCCTTGAAGTCTTACACCTATTATAGATTTGAATTTCAAAGTCAGATCAAGGACAATCAACAACTGAAATCCTGGGTGTTTGCCTCATGGAATATAGGGGCGGTGGGGTGGTGGGGTAGCCTAGTGGTTAAAAGCGTTGGCTCGTCACGCCATAGACCCGGGTTCGAATCTCACACGGGTACAATGTGTGAAGCCCATTTCTGGTGTCCCCCGCCATGATGTTGCTGGAATATTGCTAAAAGCGCCATAAAACCAAACTCAGTCAGTCAGTCAGTCATGGAATAGAAATGTCAGTCATCTATAAAACTCAATCTACAAATTTGACAAATGTAATGATTGAAACAGCCATATTTTTTGTACTTCATATGTCTTGCAATGAAAATTATTTGCATCAATTCAGTGAACACCAACAGGACATAATATTGTGGACTATACCCTGTGAACCTTCCAAATGATTGATAGCATCACTCAATCATGTTTTCCTGATTACTGACAAATATTTCTCATTCAGTGTTCTCAAGGAGGTGACATGAAAACCATATCATCGACAGAATGAATTTTTATCATGATCATAATCTACAAGCAGCAATAAAGCCACACTACCATCCAGTGCAATGCATCAATACCTATCTGTTATCCCATTCAACATTCCAGCATACTTCTGCTGGTGGTAAATCAGTTGACAGGAAACCATCTATTCCACGTCTGCTTCAAACTTCTGACTGGCCAATCACAATAAAGGTCATGTGAGTGTGCGGATGCTTCCCCATAAAGACTAAAAGTATATGTGACATGGACTCTGTGATGGTACCTGTTACAAAACTGTCTAGTACTAGCAGCATGAGTTACTTCGACAAGGGCAGCCATTATCTGCCCTCATCTGTGAAGGAAGAGCTGGTCCAGCAACAAACAACACTTCCTGAGTTCATCTTTTACTGTTGGTGTCAGTCTGTTGGCCTTGTGGATGTACATACAAACACTCCTGTGCACTTTCCAAGGTCTTGTAAAAGGTTATATCATTTTCTGTCTTTTAGAGTCATACAATGGTATAGATGATATGAGATAACATAAGAAATCAATATTTTAATTTGTCAAATTTTATCACTGTCTTGTCAACCTTTTCTTGTATTACCACTTTTTTAACAATTCAATTTATCTAAAGTTTATCACTGAACGCTAACAAAAGAATGAAGACTTAAAGTATCAGGTGACCTAAATATACCAAAAATTGTTTTCTGTCTTGAAAGATATTATCAAAACTTATCATCACTGAATGGTATTGAATGGCTTGAAGTTCAAATGTATCATGTAATCCAACAAAACATATAAAATATTGTCTTTTGTCTTGTAAGTGTCGGAGTTTTTGAACATTTGAAGTTATTTAAAGATTGTAGTTGAGTGATAACAAATGTCTTGAAGACCTTAAGTATGATGTGATTTATCTTGTAAACATGTTCTTTTTAAAATTACATTACTTACAGATCATTAAGTGATAGAAAAAGCCTTGAAGATCTGAAGTATCATGTGATCTAACAAAACAATTAAAAAATCACTTTCTGTCTTGTCACTATTTTCTAACATCTGAAGTATCATGTACTCTAACAAAACATATCAAATATCACTTTCTGTCTTGTCACTGTTTTCTAACATTTTAAGCTATTTAAGACCACCATTACGAGAGCAAAAAGCTCGAAGAACTAAATTAACAGAGGTGCAACAGATGCGAAAATGGAATTTCCTTTCTCCACACGTCACCAGTACAACATCTTGATTCACATTTCTTACAAAGCAAACAATTTTTTGTGCAAACATTGCAGTGTTCTGTGATATTGTAACATGAAGCTGTTTGTGAATAACAGACTACCTTCAACTCTGGCCATATGGTATAATGGTAAGTCTTTTGGAATGCAGTGTTATTTTGTGTCTAAACAAAACTCAGAATTTCATCTTAACTAGAACTTTTATGGGATCAGTTATGCTCATAAGTTCTGAGGTTTTCATCATCTGAGAAAGTCATTCTGAATGGCTATTCAACTTTGTTAATATATATAAAATGACAATGCAAGAGAATAACCAGAATCCTTTCAAACAGATGTATAAGAAGAAAACAATGACCAATTGAACTGATATCTAAACAGTGGCCCATTTCAAGTAAAACAAGAAGACAAAGTCATCAATATCCCCCGCAATGGCAAAATACTCTTCATGATTATGTCTACAAGTTATGATTATGTCAAATATTTAGGTGTGTATATACAAAAGTGGAAGGAGAGTATTGAAAGGTTTTAAAGTTCTGCTCCAGAAAGGAGCACTATCACCAATTTCAGTCTATGTCAAACTTGTTGCCATGGAAATGCCAAAAGTATTTTATTCAGAAATCCAAAACTACCAAAAGGCACCAGTACACCACCAGATCTATGTATGTGCCAAGTTTGGTCAAGAACCATTGAACGGTTTTAGAGTTTTCCTCCAGGAAAAGTGCACTACCACTAATTTCTGTTTTAGTCAAACTTGTTGCCATGGAAATGCCAAAAATATTTTAATCAGAATTCCAAAACTACCAAAAAGGAACCAGTACACCACCAGACCATTCTATGTGCCAAGGTTGGTGGAGAAATAGTGAACGGTTTTAGAGTTCAGCTCCGGAAAAGAGCACTACCACTAATTTCAGGCTAAGTCAAACTTGTTGCCACGGAAACGCCAAAAATATTTTAGTCCATTTTAATACCCCCGCAAAACACGTTGCGGGGGATAAAAACATAAAGAATGCTGTTATTAACAACATGGATGCACAGACAGACGGAGTTTAAAATAATACCCCTGCAAAACCCTATTTTTCACAAAGGGAAAAGAGTAAATGGATATGGATAAATTCTGGGCTCACCTGGTTGGAGCTGGGTCTGAATTCTCACTGAAAATGTTGGGAATGATGGCAAAAAACACTTCACTACGGATCAATGTTCACGACACCACAGGTCTGTTTGGTTCTTTAAGGCAACAGTCTGAATTATGGCAGCAATATCTCATTAGTCTGTAGCAAGACAAACTAGTGACTGACATCATGAGCACTGATGCCCACTGATGGGGTATGATGAACATCAGTCTGTCAATAACTGAGTTTGGAGTGAGTTTAATTTCAATAATGATAATAATATTGCATGCTAGTATTGTGCTTAAACTCTATGCATTGCATGCTCAAAGCGCTAACAGGTATCAGGGAAAAGGTGGGTTTGGAATTTGAAGCCACTTTTAGGAATACTCCACCAATATCACGGCAGGGCACACCAGAAATGGGCTTCACACATTGTAGCCATGTGGAGAATCGAACCTGGGTCTTCGGCGTGACAAGCGAATGCTTTAACCACTAGGCTACCCCATCACCCCAAATGAGTTAGGATAAGACAAATCTGTGACTGATGTCATGATCATCAATCCATACTGCAGGTTTTTATAACAATCAAGCATGTCACCGATCTTGAACACATATGAATTTAGTAGCTAACAACCAATGGTTTGCTGGGGCCAATCGGACAGCAGAATGTTTACATGGTCAAACATTCAATACACAATGTCTGTAGTGTAAAGTAGAGGTAGAGGCTGCTGTGTTGGAAAGGATACAAGTTTTGATTAGCTCAAATTTATGGTGAGCTATGATTTCCACGATGATTTGAACTCCTGCTGCTAACAGCGCCGTTCCGATCCCGACAAAGAACATGATGACCCAGCGAGACACAGCCTTGATTGTCAGGGCTTTCTGAAAACAATCATCATCATCATCATATCAGAACACTTGAGCATGTGACAGGAAATGTTTCAGTAACTGTTCAGGGCCGTGTTCCACAAATCAATCTTAGCACGAAGAAATTCAGAACTCCTATACTTAAACCGAAGGTTTTGAAAATCATAGTGCTAACATCACTTCATGGAATGGGGTGCTGGCATATGTCAGACATTCTTAGGTGCCTACTTTCAACAACTATTCCACATTCCACATCAGCTGTTTCTATAAATGACCAAAGTATAGCTTTGATGAGAGTCCTTTCGACCCCCTGGAAAAGTTCGATTCTTTGTTGCGGGGAAACATTGTGATAATGGTATGACAACTATCAGATATGTTCCAGCTGGTGGCTTGTAGCCTGTTTCTTTCTTCTAGGTACTACTGTTCAAGTTCCCAAGAATGACTGAACTGATCAAATATTGACAATGTTTCCACCTTATTACTGAAAATCTCACAATCATGGCTACATCTATGACCCAACATGAAATTTCACCATTGAACTGGTATTAGACAAGCCCAGATTCAAATCCTGAAAGATGCTCCCATAAAAGCAGTATTTTCAACATTCTAGAATCAGGTAATCACTATATGTTGTAATCTCCAAGTGCCAAAATGAACAAATTCTAGTTTTCATTCAAATGAACATATTTGATAACTGTCAAAACTATTACTGAGATTTCTATTTCTAGAACCATGTAGATCCTGTATTCAAACCCAAAATCTAAGTTTTCCTGAAGGTGTCAGAATTGCAAAGGTGATTTGTGTTTCACTTACGACATGACCAGGGCCTCCTGTCACAAAGCACTAAGGTGATCGTAAGTCACTAAGGTAACCTTAGTGCAATGCTAAAGAATGGGAGTTAAGGTTAACCTTAGTAAAGGTCCCTTTGTGAGAGAAGCTCCTGGAAAAGAGTATGATTTTTATAAGGCTTACTTTTCATGTAGCATTGAATGTACTCTAAACATATCTCTAAAATACAAAAATACATTTCAAACCTTAGTACTGTTTCACAAAATGTTGAATTTTCCCAACCTGCTTGACACAGGCATTTAAAACTTGATTTCCTAGATAAAATAATTTAGTTACAAGAGTGACTCAAGATGATATAAACAAGAAGACAAAGTCATCAATATCCCCCTCAAAATACTTTTTATGAATATGTCTACTAATTATGATTATGTCAATGTTTTGGAGTGTATACAACAAAGTGGAAGGAGAGTATTGAAAGGTTTTAAGATCTGCTCCAGAAAGGAGCACTACCACCAAATTCAGTTGAAGCCTAACTTGTTGCCATGGAAAATGCAACAAGATGACATCCTCATAGTCAGAGCCTAAGTCATGTTTCCATGGAAACAGCCAAAAATAAAATTCATATCTGGGTCTAACCCCCAAAAGGCACATCTAGGGATCATGCTTGATATGTGTACCAAGTTTGATGAAGCTAGCATGCATAGTTTGGAAGATCTGTTCCAGACAAGATGACATCCTCATAGTCACAGCCTAAGTCACGTTTCCATGGAAACAGCCAAAAGTAAAATTCATATCTGGGTCTAACCCCCAAAGGGCATATCTAGGGATCATGCTTGATATGTGTACCAAGTTTGATGAAGCTAGCATGTATAGTTTGGAAGATCTGTTCCGGACAAGATGACATCATCATAGTCACAGCCTAAGTCATGTTTCCATGGACACAGCCAAAAATATAATTCATATCTGGGTCTAACCCCCAAAAGGCACATCTAGGGATCATGCTTGATATGTGTACCAAGTTTGGTTAAGATATCACCAATAGTTTAGGAGATATGCTTCGGACAAAGTGTGACGGACGCACAGACAGACACACGGAACTCGTTTCTATGTATAATTATGTGCACTGACCTTTCTATATATAATTGTGTGCACTGACCTTGGACTTGTTCCTCTCATCTTCTTCAAGGGCAAGGTCACTCTCAATTGGGTCATAGTTAAGACTCTGAAGAGACAACAATGAGTTCACAGAATCTGAACTGAAGACAAAAGTTATGAAAACATCTTTAATCAAGTGACAGAAACATCAGATGGGATTCAAACGGTCATTAAAGGAGCTAGCCATTGATATTATTGAAAAACATGGCTTACCTCCCATTTTGACACCAGTCTTTTTCTGAAGCGAGGAGAATTCTCTCCATACTGTTTCATACGCTTGTGAAACTCCTGAAAAAAGTGAAATCTGTTATTAAGGCAATAAAAACATCAGGTAAAGTTGACCGTTAGTTTTCCTGGTCCACATTAGATTCTGTGGATGTAGCTGCACAGGGCAATTTGTTACAACACTACCACACTGACTGCACAGCACTTTGCATTGATAACTCAGATAATACATAGATGTGAAAGTTTAACCATGTGCACAAAATCAAGCGTAGCAATATACTGTACATTACTGTAGATAAGAGAAATTTTGAAGACCAAAAAAAAGCAGCCTGTATGAACTTTCTTTCTGGTGACCAGTAAGAAAACGACATCGTATTGTTTCGCGTGAACAAACAAGAGAAAACAACTGTGTCAGTGAACACGTCAGATTTGTAATTAAACATCACTAGACAAGATTATTTACCTTTTCAGTTCTAATTGTTTTTGCTAGGCATTGTATTATATGCAGAGATTAAGATTACCGTAGTGAACCTCAAACAATGCAATAACCTAAAAAAACAAAAGCAATCCAGTTATGTCTTCCATGGCAAAATGCCTGTACCTAATGCATAAAGCAAAAAAAGTAGGTCACAGCTATGGAAACCTATATACCAGTAGGCAAATGTTTTGCACAAACATGATGTCTTAATGTCATCGCTTTACCTACTGGTGATACAACATGATGAATGTTACCCAGAAAGTAACAATGTTTTGAAAAGGCTTGTCAGAAATTTTATACCTTCACTGTGACCTAGACCTACAAATGTAGGCCAAAGGGTTAAGGAAATCTTGCACAAGTCACTATTTGTGCTTCAGTACCTGTGAATGTCTTAGAAGACATCATAATCTTGCAATGTTGTAAATTTGAATGTTATCTAGACCTTCAATGCCTGCACAGATGATTGGTAAAAACTCCACAAGGTTCAGAAGCTCACCCGAATTATTAACACAAATGTTGGCCTTGTTTGCAAATGGATCAGAAAATATTAAAACATAAACATCTCAAAGGTTGACTGTCATACAAAAACATTTCATATGATTCTATTATAAAGTACATATCTTAAGTAATCAGCATCATGTATCATGGAAACTTGTTCCTTCTCAAATGCTGAATAAAACTTTATGGATATTTTAAAGATGAAAAACATGAAAAACAAAACATTTCAGAAAAGTATGTAAGGAAAAGAAATTCAATTCAATGAAGAAGAGTTCAATATGTAAGTGTGAAAACCATTCCATTGAAACTGACAGATCAAAGTAAATTGAAAAAAACCATCGGATGTACCGGGTATAGATTTGAAACAAAATGCTCATGTATTCCAGACAAACTCATGTAGAGTTGGAGCAGCTTGGAATGAAGCTAAGATATTACAATGCAAAGGAGGGTTAATTTCAAGACAATGACTGACCCGACACTTTTTCCTTGAAGATTTCGATACCCCAGACAACCTTCGAAACACATATCTGTCCCTCATCAATCGATCAAATTGGTACTTTTGGAATTTTTCCCTCCTTATGTAACGCTTGCATAGACTATAGACTTGTGATTGAGTCAGCAGTCACTTCAATGTGTGTGCTGTGTCAATGCCCTTCCTAGACAACAGCAGCTTGTTTATGACAGAAACTGTTACAGTGCCAAGTTCCCAATGGGAAAGTACACATCCTGCTGATTGTCATTGTACCAGGTCTTATTTTCATAAGGGTGGTGGCATAGCCTAGTGGATAAAGAATTTGCTCGTCATGCTAAAGATCCGGGTTCGATTCCACACATGGGTACAATGTGTGAAGCCCATTTCTGGTGTCCTCCACTGTGATATTGGTGGAATATTGCTAAAAGCAGCATAAATCTAAACTCGCTCACTCGCTCACTCGCTCACTTTTGTATATGTATTCTTTCCGAAATCTTACTACCCAGGCCAAAGTGCAATAAGGGTTCTTTTTGGCCCATGAGATCTGCATAATGTCAAAACTGGGTAAACTGTTTGGAAATGTTCTGAATATTTTCAGTAATGTTCAAAAAGGAGCAGAACAAAAGTTACGATGAACAGACAGATGAAACAAACTGTTGCTTTGGTCCTAGCCAACTGCTGTATATTGTATTTTAAAATGTGCATAATATTGGTTGGTTGGTTTGTTGTTTAACGCACGCTCAGCAATATTCCAGTTATTTGGCAGCGGTCTGCAAATAATCGAGTCTGGACCAGTCAATCCAGTGATCAACAGCATGAGCATCAGTCTACGCAAAATGTGTTTGATGAACTACAGTTATATTGAACAAATAATAGTGCCCCTTTGAGTTCGTCATAACACTTGCATACTGTATAAATTAGTATGAAACGTGTCAAAAAGGCTGATTCTAGAGCTTTCATTAAAAGTTCTTTAGATTTGAATTTGAGCAACATATTAACTCAAACTGGTTCCAAAGGAAGTATAGATAATAACATGGCATCCAAAGCTTCATTTTGGGTTATGGACTTTGAAATTCTAAAAGTGTGACTTATTCACTCACTTTAGCCATACCAATCAGTGAGTGAGTGAGTTAAAATTTAACGTCACATCGGCACCATACCAATTAAAAGTCACAGAATTGCAATAGAAATAAAAAGTCATTTAAACATGTCTGATAATGTTCATACCAATATTTCAAAGTTTTTGCTGCCTCAAACTTTGACATTTCCAATGGTCAAAAAAGTACCCTTTGACAACCTCCTCTTTGTTAAACTACTGTGGTTAACATTAGCCTGTCTGTAAATGTACATTTAGAAAGTGTGTGCAGTGTTCACGATAGGAAAAAAAGCTTTGCGTTCCTAAGACCCACAGCCCCCAAGAGCTGTATGTCCGAGCCAGAAACTCTATTTTATTTTGTTGTTTCCTTGGGAAAATACGTTTTTCAGTTACTTGTTCTAAGAACACAAAATGCTTTGTGTGCAGAAGACACAGGTAGAAAATATTGCGGCTGAAATCTAGATTTATTTGCGTGAAACATGCAGGTTTTTGCGTTAACACGAACACTAGTGTGATATTTCTCGGACACAAGCGTCAATGCACTTTAACTATAATAGTTCAGGGCAAAATAGTAGTTTATTATACTATGTATTACATGGGGGTAGAGCGAACCATTCCAGTATTTCAAATATTCCTGTAATAAACATTCCAGACAGCTGAAATGTGCACAAGAGGCAGTAATTCTTTATACAAAACAGAAGATGGTCATAGAGATACAGTATCTAAAATTGCTATGATCAGTAATGAAAAGACTTACATGTCCCTAAGATGCTAGTAGTTATGTTCTAGCAACATTTAACACACTTGCCACAAACTTACTACAAACAAGAGGCCATTAAAATATCAAGTGAGTGAGTGAGTGAGTGAGTGAGTTTGGTTTTATGCCGCTTTTAGCAATATTCCAGCAATATCACATCGGAGGACACCAGAAATAGGCTTCACACATTGTACCCATGTGTGGAATCGAACCCGGGTCTTTGGCGTGACAAGCAGACGTTTTAACCACTAGGCTACCCTACTGCCCTATATCAACAGGAACTATCAAGCAATATCCTGTTATCCTTTTCACAGTGATTTGTTTCCTTGCTACTAATATCAGCGCTTTCTGGTTAAATTGTCAAGAAAACACAACGGAACTCTCATATTCAGGATTCCATTTTCAGAGTAATACTTTGGATTAAAAACATTCCTCATTATTAAATGAAGGAAAGGGAATGATATTTTTTGTCCATTATTTGTCATTAACAACTTTTCTTCATAAATCCCACATTCACATTAATATCCTCCTGAGGCACTAAGAAAATTGATAAATGGGGCATTTATTGAAACCACAAACAGAAAGTTAAATTTGGTGTCAGAGATTGAGAGGTAGTGAACAAATTGAGTTAAAACATTGATGAAACTAAATCCTTTTTATAATAATTACACAGCAACTGTATAAATCTTCAACATGCTGTTTTAAACAAATTTGTAATATACACAAGGAAATATTGACTGTCATAAATTTTCAGTCTTTGTATGGAGCTAATGATTACTCATCCATTGGTTTAATAGTTTGTTCAGGGACATGTACTGGAGCAGAGCACTTAATACAGTCAATAGGATGTAACAAATTTCCTATATTTCAGATAAAGAGCAAACAAACTTTAAATGTGTTTCAGAGGAAATTCAAATTGAAATTGAATTAAGATATTTGTGACAGTTTTCATTGAACTTGTTTGCTCCAAAACACTTATTGAAGGAAAATGAGATATTTTTTCAGTATTGTAAATGTTTTTACTTGTAATCTCCAGATGACAATCAATACTGAGGTACAGCGTCATACCAAAAGACGTTAAAATATGGTACTTGTTGGTCCCTGCCTGGTGCTCGGCATTAATGGGTACAACAAGGACTGGTCGGCTCGGAGTCAGTATAATGTGTCTGAGTGCGGTATTCATGCTACACTGCGGCGTGATATCTCAGTGGGCTAGCATTATAAAACCAGCTTAAGTCTGGGCTAGTACAAGCAGCTGCACATACACATACACATGCATGCACACCGTCATATGATCGAAATATTCTCAAGCATGACGTTAAACCCAATTTCACCTCACCTCACCTCAATACTGAGGTAAAGGCATATTAGCAATGTGAGACATGATTCAGGTTTTGATGTTCCTATTTCTGTAGTAATTATATATATGTGGGCACCGGTGGTTCAGTGGTCTCAGATGTAACAATCCACTGTACAGAAACCCAAATCATGGGTTCAAATCCAAGGTTGGAACTTAATAATAAACACCTGAGACCTGGGGTAGCCGGGATAGTCTAGTGGTTAGGGTGTTTGCTTTCAAATCAAATAAAAAATCCAGGTTTGATTCCCCACATGGGTTCAATGTGTAAAGCCTCAGTGATAATGATGGAATATGGCTAAAAGTTGAGTAACCTTACTCACTTTCTCACCTACTTCCTGACATGCTGCTTGACATGCTGTGATATAAGAGATATACTGATCCATCTAGCACTAAACCAAACTT